GTGGCTGTTTGTGGTATAACGCCCTAAATAAAATCTCACAGAAACCTCAATTGTTTTCATATCAACCTCAAATTTGGACCATAACTTATTGAGACATTAAGGCTTTAATTTTACACCAATTTTAGAGTAAAACCTGTTATGTAAAATATTTATTTTATATAAAATATAATCAAATTATTAGTGCATTTTCTTTACAGAAAATGTAAACTTCTATAACTTTTTGATACTTTAATATTTTTTTTTAAAATTCCACTTTTGCAATAATCTGCTAATTTTTTCTAATTTCTAATTTTTTGCTAATTTCTTAGGTCTGTATTCCAAAGTGTTCATAAATTACAATAATTTAAGTTTGGATAGTGCACTTTCATGCCTATTTTAAAAAATGGGGGGTGACAGTTTAAGTTTGGATAGTGCACTTTCATGCCTATTTAAAAAAATGGGGGGTGACAGTTACAGGTAAATAGGATAAAAAAAAAAGGATTATCAACAGCACGAGTTCTCCAGTTGACTGATTACAGAACAATTGTTTTTTATTACAAGTTTTATTATAAGTTCAAATATGTAAATTGGCATTATGTGCATATTTGCATATTTTCCAGAATAGAAAATCTGCACATTGGATAAAGCCAGGTACAAAATTCCTGTTTGAATTTGTTGACATATTAAAATGATTTTGGATTTCTATAAATCAGAAAATACTGAAAAGAAAAAAAAATTATCATGTTTTTAGGAATAAAATGTTATATAAATCAAGTGAATGTTATATGAGCAAATCCCTTTGTAAAAACCTTAGGCTGCTCTTTGCAGGGAGTTGTGGTAGCTGTCTGCCCCTGCGCCCTAATGACGTGGTTCCTGCCGGGGAATAATGTCCACCATGCGGAAGTTCTCTGGGAAGAGAGAGATTTTGTCAAAATGACAAAAAAAAAGAAACCTTTGTAGGAAAGTAGAAAAATGGACTGATTACTACTTTGCATTAGATGAACAATTTGAAAATGTTATTAAAAGATTTTATTTAATTGTACTACATTATGTACTGTGATTACAGAAGCACAAGAAAGCAGATTTGAGATTTGGAGGTGAAATTAGTAATTTTTTTATTGTCGACTTTTTACGATTAGGACATCACAGTAAGCAGTAGTTCGCGAAATAAAGCAGGTACAGGTACAGCCAAGCTCTGAGGGGCTCCCAGCATGCACCTGTTAGCTCGTGGGGAGTTAGGGCAGGAACCCCCTAAGTTGGTCTGGCCAAAGGGCCTGAGGGGAGGCTCTCTCCTCCTCCTGCCACCCCTGAGGATAGAGGTGGGCTGGAGTCTAAACACAGCCACAGCAGAAAAGGGCAAGGGCAAAAAGATAAAAAAGGGAAATTATGTAATGAAATAACAAAAATTCAGACATCTGAAATGGGTAAACCAATAATAAACAAAGGTAAAAATAGTGAATCAGAATAAATTGACATAGAAAACAAATACAGATAAGTGATAAATAAATGATTAAAGGTTTAGGATGAGATCTCACCTGTCGCCATCAATGGTTTTCTTGTTAGCTATCTGACAGCTTGGCCTATCCAAATTGCCAGAATGCCTGTGAGATGGAAAATGACTAATCCAGAAAACAAACAGAGTGGGAAAAACAAAAACAAATGGAGGAATGTATGAAGCTAAATGGAAAGACATTATGGAGCTCAAGGCCAGGTGGTGCTTCTTTGACTCGTTTCTTTGAAACAGTTACAGAAAAGGATGGTGAAAACACTTAAGATTATATATTTATATTTCAATCATGACAACTCTCTGAAGATTTAACATGGTGATGGATTTGACAATGTTAATGTATTTGGTCTTGGCGGAATAGATCTGCTACGATGCTGCTGCTGCTGAATTGCTGCTGCTGTTGGTTATTGCTGTAGTTGTAGATTATTGCTGCTGCTGCAAGCAAGTACAGGAACTTGCTT